GAATTTAATTTGTCCCAAAATTTAACAACGTGAAAGATCCTTCAAAACATTCACACCCGAGACGGTACGTCGCATCAAAACGAAAATCAAGCACCCAATGGCCTTCCTTTACATTTCAAGGAAACACTTCTCGTCACATTCACATAGTCTTANCGTCATACTCACCACAAAAGCTATTCCACTGCTCATCGAGCCACAATTTCACTTGTAGGGACATTATCGGACATATGAGTCCAAATGTATAGGTTACAACTGAAGCTACCGAGCCAAAACTACGATTTTAGACCTGGCCTCAAGTCCTTCAGACTAGCCCATCACCAAAACATATAATACACATCTCGAACCTCGTTCATAGAATCACAAACCGGCAATGCACAACTGATACCGAGTGCTCATGTGCGCATACGAATGCATGGAAGGAATTCAAGGAGTTATGTTTCAAGCTGAATCAATTTCGCACGATAGAATACAAGAAAGTGAAATTTTCCTAAGGGTTCTGCAATCTCTCGAAGATAAGTACAGACGTCTCCGTACCGATCTGCAAGACTCTACTAAACCCGCTCATGACTCGTGAGACCTCAGTAACCTAGGCTCTGATACCAATCTGTCACGACCCAAAAATTTAAGACCTTATTTATTTGGTTTTGAAGAAGAAGAAGAAGAAGAAGAAGCGTTTAGGAGGGGGAACGAAAATGGAGGAACATTTTGGTTTTTTGGTTTTTTACTTATTTATTTTTCAGTCTTATTTTAATGATTTTTTCTTCTTATTTAAATTATTTTTGGTTCAAAATGTTCATATTCATGCTCATTATCCGCGTGAATTATACTCACTTTGTCCAGTTCAATCATTATTTTGCCACATGTGCTTGGTTAATGGTCAGAGAGGTTTAAAATATAAATTTTGAACAAGTTAAAGTGTCTAAATAAAAAAAAGTGAAGTAGTAGGACCGACATGACAAAGTAACACAAGTATAAGTGTCATTTAGACCATTCTACCTTAATAATATTATACAGTTAAATTTAAGTAACAAACATTATATATTAATTAATAATACCGTATAATACAATGGGTAATGACCATCCAAACAAGTTAGTAAAAGAAGTCTTCACTGGTAATCTTTGATGCATATTTTAATATTCTGGTCGCTGAAAAATCGAGACTCGCCACCATTCTATAGCTGCTCTCGGCATCCATTTCCAATTTCTCCGCTACTTTAGGTAACGAAGTCATTTTCAAGCAATTGTTGTTTTAGTATGACGTCATCTCTGAGAACTCACCGGAGAGGCAACGAGGAGAAGAATCGGAGGGTAGGTTATCGGGAAAATTCATGTCGATTCACGGACAGAGCTCGGGGAGCAGTAGTTCGGAGTTGTTGTGAAGGTCAAGGATTTCTTTCCTTTGCTTAGTCAATTAGGTGATCTTAGTTCAATTTTGATATCGTTGATAGATTAAATATTTGGGAATTTCTTTTTCAAATAATACTCTATTTTTGGTTTACTTTTACTGTTTAAAGGTTATTTTCGAAAGAAATTCGGCTAAAAAAATAAATAAAGAGAAGCAGTGCAACAAGGGTCCTGCTAACTTTCTACCTTAATTTTTTATCTTCACCCCCGCCTAGCAAGGGTCTTTGTTTTACACTAATATTTAAATGGAATATTTGGAGTCTATGTTTACAAACTTTCTTAGGCAGAATAATCTAGTAGACCCCTAAACTTGTTCATGTTTGATATCTCGTTCCTTCTATTAACTTGTTTTTATCCAACGAGTGTTCCACCTTCCAACAAAGGCACATGAGAGGCTTCTTATGATCTTGCAACGGGCTATAGAAGAAGTTGATTCTGTCAAGGAAGAGCTCAACAAGCTGAAGGATAATAATAATAATATGCGAGCTGGAAATTTTTCACTTGGAGGTTCTAGTTCACCACGATTGCATGTTTCAACCCTCGAGAACAACATGGTGGGGCACAACATTGAACAAGAGCTCATGCGGGGTCAACTTACAGGACACTCGTCTCAGCTGGAAGTCATCTCTATTGCTGGGATGGGCGGCATTGGCAAGTCAACCTTTGCCAAGAGAATGTTTAATGATCCCTCAATTGTGAGCTTCTTTGATGTTCGTGGATGGGTTACTGTATCCAAGGACTACAATTTAAGAAAGATGCTTCTATCCCTCCTTCAAGATGCTGGGATAAATGCGGAGCTTGATAAGAAAAGCGATATTGGAGAAGAAGAAGAAGAAGAAGAAGATGATGATGATGATGATGATGATGATGATGATGCTGGGATAAATGCGGAGCTTGATAAGAAAAGCGATATTGGAGAACACAGAGAAGAATAAGTGATGGAAGAAGAAGAAGAAGAAGATAAGTGATGGAAGAAGAAGAAGAAGAAGAAGAAGAAGATAAGTGATGTACAACTAGAAAATCGCATCCAGAAAAGCGATGGAGAACTAGCAGATCGCATCCACAATTGATTGTTGTGGATGACATATGGAGCACAGAAGCTTGGGATGAGTTTAGGCTATGGTTTCCAGAATACAATAATAGAAGTCGGATATTATTGACTACTCCAGTTGAGGAATAATGCCTTTGTATCAAACATCGTCTTGGAAGTAACAGAGATGCAATTTCCTAAATTGAAATTCTTGCTCCTCGAGCAGTTGAATATTAGATATTGGAGAGCCACTGATGATTGTTTCCCATGCCTTGAGCGTATAATTATAAGAAATTGCAGGTTTTTAAAAGAGATTCCCCAAGAATTTGCAGATAGTATGACACTGCAGCTAATTGAGTTACATCAATGTTCTCCTTCCCTTGTGAATTCTGCTGAGCTGATCCAGAAAGAGCAATTGGAGAGTTTGGGGAATAACATGCTTAAAGTTTATGCCTTTGACACCATTAAATGTAAGTGAAGTATTTCTGAATTATATGATTCTTCAACATCCATTATAAGTTTGAATTCATGAACTGCGCGTTTCACCTTTTAATTAAAATAGAAATGAGATAATCCATATTCATTTTATTCATTTTCAACGGCTTCTCTCAATTTTAACTTAGCATTAAACTGCATGTGCTCTTAGACTACATTAATTGTGTATATTATAGTTGAATTAAATGGCAAAATGAAGTCTAAATTCGAATTGTTGGGACATTTGGTGAAAGACGACAACCCTTTTGATGAATAGTTGTATGGTTGAAGTTAGAAATGTTAAATATCTTTAAAGTAATTGTATGTGTTATATTGAGTTTTCAACTTTGATAATCTCTCAATGTTTTTTACTTTACACTTACTCGAGACTCACTAGTAATGGCCATTTGTACAGGCAGAATCTGGTGAGAGCTAACCGTTTCCACTTACTACGATTGAACCAATGCCCAACATCCCAGAAATATGAGCAGCTTGTTTTTCTGTTAAGACACAGTGACACAGAAGTTATGAGTGGTCCAAATCTTTGTTTTCTCTGAACTATATGCACTCCAGTTCGAATACTAAATACATATTTGGAGTCGCTGAATTATGGGCAACCCAAAGGTAAGGCACCGTGTTCAACTTTTTGACCGGGAGTTGACTTTAATTATTAATTTTGACTTTGACTAAGTCCTAAATTTTATAGGTGGGAGTCCTATTGGGGTTAGTTGATAAATAATTTCTGAAAAGTTTGAGGACTTTGCTCGAATACAGGCAAATGCAGACTTAGACCTAATTTCTTGAAGGATTTGCATATACCATCTTGAGCTAATAAGGTAGTGGATAGTGGTTTGGCCTTAGCTTTCTCAGATAATGTTTAACTAAAAGAAAATGGCAGTTAATTTCTCAACGCACTTGAGTTTTAGTACAACTTGAACTATGTCATGCCTATTTTGATATTCTGCATCATGGATTAGTTGTTTTCAAATGCTATTATCCTGTCGGCTTTGATGAAAATCTTGAACCATGTTGCTTAAATTCTGCAAACAGTGCTTACTATAATATCCACCACCCAAGCAAGTTAGTTGCCGGAGCAGACTTTTATTGTTTTAAGCATAAAATTGAGCCAAAGTGCTGTTGAGAATAAATCTCATACAAAAATAATATTCACAGTAATAAAAACGGAATAATCACGTAGCACCGAGATACGGTAATTATCAAGAAAAAGAGTGACAACAATACCAAGAGTTTTACGTGGAAAACCCTTTGAATAAGGGAAAAAACCACGGCCCCGAGGCAAGCAACTGATATCACTATAGCAAGGAATTTTACACTTTGTAGGTCCGAGTAAAATACTCCAAAGACCACTACAACACTCAAAAGAAATAACCCTCTTTTTATATTCTCACCTCACTACAATATCGCTCACTCTCTATTTTTCTCACAGATTATTTTCTTATACCTTGTCTGTGAAACCTCACTCTTTCTTTCTCTCTTTGTTGGTGTGTGAAAATGAGAGTTGAAGTTATCCTTTTATAGCCGAAGCCTCACTTTCTAAAGCCTACTATATTTGACAATTTGCACACACTTTTCCTTCTTTTTCTTCAATGTTGACAATTCAACAAAGTTGGCTACTAAATCAAAGAAATTTTCCTTAGANTAAAATTGGCTACTAAATCAAAGAAATTTTCCTTAGACACGTGCCTATTACTTTGGCTATTGAATGAGATGAAACCCATCAATCTCCCCCTCCAGTCTCATTCATCTAGAGGAGGTAGCACTGTCTTCTAGTTTGAGTGAATGCCGACAAGTTCTTTGCATAGCTCAAACTTGTCTCTTGGTACCACCTTTGTCAACATATCAACAGGATTTTCACTCGTGTGAATCTTTTTGACATGTAAAGATTTGTTCTCCACCTGCTCACAAATCCAATGATATTTCACATCTATATGCTTTGTTCTTGCATGGTACATGGTATTCTTGCTCAAGTCTATTGCACTTTGACTGTCATAATAGACGACATACTCCTTTTGATGCAATTCCAGCTCTTGAAGAAACCGCTTGAGCCATACCATCTCCTTGCCAGCTTCTGTAGCGGCAATGTACTCTGCTTCAGTTGTTGAAAGTGAAACACACTTATGCTATTTAGACTGCCATGATATAGCTCCCCCTGAAAATGTAAACAAATATCCAGTAGTGAATTTTCTGTTATCAATGTCACCTGCCATATCAACATCTGTATAGCCCTTCAAGATTGGATGAGATCCTCCAAAGCACAAACAATCTCCCGTGGTACCTCTCAGGTACCTGAGTATCCACTTGACTGCTTCCCAATGTTCATTTCTAGGATTTTCAAGGAATCTGCTAACAACACCAACTGCATGAGAAATATCAGGTCTGGTGCATACCATTGCATACATCAAGTTGCCGACTGCTGAAGAGTAAGGAACTCTAGCCATGCTCCCTTTCTCCTCCACACTTGTAAGATACAACTTCTTGCTCAACTTTAGATGACTAGCAAGAGGTGTGCTGACTGGATTAACATTCTTCACATTGAAACGTTCCAGTGCACGTTCAATGTACTTCTCCTGAGACAACCACAACTCTCTGCTTGTTCGCTCTCGAACTATCTTCATACCTAGAATTTGTTGTGATGAGGCCAAGTCCTTCATATCAAATGACTTGGACAAATCTCCCTTTAACTTGGCGATCAACCCCTTGTCTTTTCCTACAATTAACATATCATCCACATACAACAACAATATAATAAAGTTATTTTCAGAAAATCTTTTGAAGTATACACATGGATCACAATATGTCTTTATGTAAGTTTGACTTTTCATGAACGAGTCAAACTTCTTGTACCACTGCCTTGGTGCCTGCTTCAATCCATAAAGACTCTTATTCAAATTGCACACCATGCGTTTCCTTTCAGATACTTCAAATCCTTCTGGCTGCTCAATATAGATCTCCTCTTCCAAATCTCCGTGAAGAAATGCAGTTTGCACGTCCAACTGCTCCACTTCAAGATCTAGGCTAGCTTCTAAGATCAAGATTGTTTGAATAGAAATCATTTTGACAACATGTGAGAAAATTTCATCAAAATCAATACCTTTCTTCTGCTTGAAGCCTTTTACCACCAACCGAGCTTTGTATCTGACCAGCTTGCCATTTCCATATTTTTTGACTTTAAAGACCCACTTACATTTGAGTGATCTTTTACCCTTTGGAAGTTCAACTAGCTTGTACGTGCCATTTTCCTGCAAAGATTCCATCTCCTCTTGCATGGCTTTCATCCACTGATTCTTTTCTGGATGGGACATCACCTCCTTAGACATACTCCGTGGAAGGGTACCTGCATGACTCTACCCTTGGCCTTTCTGATCTCCTCAGAGGTTGAGGTTGTTCTTCTCCCTGAGTGGGGTAATCCACTTGCTCGACATCATCATCAAGTTGCCCCCCTACTCAATAACCTCACCAGGTTGCTCCCCCTACTCAGCAACCTCATCGGTCATACTTTCTGCACTTGTGGGATTGTTATAAGTAGAAGGAATAGTAACAAGGTTAGGAATAATACCATTCTTGGCCTTCTCTGTTATATCATCTGCAGTTCCAACTTCACTTTCTCGGAAGATTACATTTCTTCTTCTGATGACCTTCTTCTTTACGGGATCCCACAATCTGTATATGAATTCTTCATCTCCATATCCGATTAATATGCAAGGAATAGATTTATCATCCAGCTTTGTTCTCTGTTCCTTTGGTACATGTGCAAAAGCTTTGCAACCGAACACCTTCACATGCGAGTAGGACACCTTCTTGTTAGTCCAAACTCTCTCTAGGATGTCAAACGCCAACGGAACTGATGGAATCCTATTGATCAGGTAACAGGCTGTCTGAACTGCTTCACCCCAGAATGACTTAGGCAGTTTAGCCATTCTGAGCATGCTTCTCACCTTTTCCACAATAGTGCGGTTAATCCTTTTGGCTACTCCATTGTGCTATAGGGTTCCAGGAATTGTCTATAAATGTCTGATCCCATGGTTCGAACAATATTCTTCAAATTCCCTTGAAGTGTACTCACCTCCATTATCACTTCGGAGACGCTTTAGGTTTTGGCCTGTCTTCCTTTCCACCATAGCATGAAACTTCTGAAAAACTTGAAACACCTGATCTTTGGTTTTCAAAATATAAATCCATAATTTTCGTGAAGCATCATCAATAAAAGTAACAAAATATTTGTTACCGCCCATCGATTCAATTTCCATTGGACCACAAAAACAGAATATACCAAATCAAGTATATTTAATTTTCTTTCAGACGATGTCTGAAATGAGACTCTATGCTGTTTACCAAATAAACAGTAGTCATAGGGTTCTACCATTGTACCATTGGCAAAAGAAATGAGTGATTTCTTGGCAAGAATCTGCAATCCCTTCTCGCTCATATGACCCATTCTTTTGTGCCACAAAATCTGCAGAAATCTCATCTTGTGTTGCGTTCAATTCACCTCGGCATATTTCTGCATTTGTCTTGTACAATGTGCCATGAGCAACTCCCTTTGCAATCACCAATGATCCTTTGGTGAGTCTCCACTTTTAATTTGCAAAATAGTTCTCGTATCCATCTCGGTCTAAAGTAATTCCCGAGATTAAGTTCATCCGCAAATTAGGTACATATCGCATGTCCTTCAGAACCAATGTGCATCCGACATTTTTCTTGATACAAATGTCACCAATCCCCGCAATCTTTGAGTAACTTGTGTTACCCATTCTCACAAGGTTGAAATTACCTGCTACATATCTGCAAAAAAGATCTCTTACCGGTGTGGCATGGTAATATGCTGCTATATCAACCACCCATTCCGACTCTAGACCTAATAAGTGCATGCATTCCTCTTCCTCGTTTATACAGAGGACAACATTATCATTGTATTGCACCATGGAAGTTGTGTTGTCGTCATTCTTCTAGCCACTAGTTTCACATGTGACAAAAAATCTGTACCTTCACCCATGTGTAGGGCGTATAGCTGCTTCTTTAGGTACAATTTTTTTGTTAGCGTTCATGTATAGGCTTTTCAATCTTGTCCAAATGCCACGCGCGATGTCTTCATCAATGATGTTATTTACCACATCATCTGATAAGTGTAACCTGATTGCACTAACAACCCTTTCATCCAAGTTAGCCCAATCCTCAACTTTCATGATATCCGGCATTTTGGCATGAGCATATAGTACCTTGTGTAATCCTTGTTGGATGAGCAGATCTCTCATCCTTCTTTGTCATGTTGAGAAACCGCTATCTCCGTTAAAATTTTCTACCTCGTACTTTACTCTGGACATTTTTGTTTTTCACCGAGTATAGTACTACCGACAGTGAATAGTATTTCTGTGAACGAGCAGCTCATGTAATTTGCCTGTTACAAAATGAAATAACCTATTTATATTACTTTTTTTTTTGCTTCAACAACCAGGTTCAATATTTTTGTGAACTAAGTGGATGTAATGCTGATGTTATTTCATTTATATATCATCTATTCCTATCCTGGACGTTTTTTATAGCAGTTTTCTAGTAGTGCCCATCTCTGTTACTTCCCATACATTTTCTTCAAAAAGCTCAGATGTAAAGGCATAACCCTTTAATTTGAGCACCTCGAGTTTAAGCAACTTGCTAACAGTTATCATGTCCCTCCACCCGACGGATGATGCAATATTTAGTTCCTCAAGTTCATGTAAATAAATTAAATTATCTAAAAATTAGGACGCTCTAAGAAAATCATTTTTATCGCCATAAATCCCCAATAATTTCACTTTCTTAATCATTTCAAGTATTTCTTTTGTGCAACAACGAGGACTCATACTTGTTTAATTTACCTATTTTTGGAAGGACTGAAATTAATTAAATGAATAAGCTGATCTTATCTCTCTCCATTAACCAAATCGAAAAGGAAGCAACCTGGAAAATATCAGAACATTAGGGAAGTGAAGACTTGACTAAAGTTAAAGTTCAAGATCTTTTTATGTAAGAGAACTAACTGTACAGGAAGTAATTTTTTGTAGGACAAATGTCTTCTAATCTCCTATATTATCATTTACGTTGCTTGAAACATTTGTTCATTTAATTTTGAGACATTGGGTGAGTTAGAAACACAACCCTTTTGAAGGGCAGCGCATGAACTGTTGCAAAGAAAACAATTTTGCGTCTTCGCATCTATGATAAGCTGGGAAACATTTTTTCTCATCAGTAGATTCACCAACTACCAATCGTCGATGCACTTCGTCACCAACTCACAATTTTTGAAGCACTTGTTAATAATGGTTGCTTGGTTGAAGTTAGATATGTTGAATCTAATAAAGTATGTGATTATGTGTTATACCGAGTTTCCAACTCTAATAATCTCTCACCCTCGTAATGGTCATGTACATGTTAGATTCAGATGCAGTTAATGAAGAAGCAGCAGAGGGAGATGTAGAAAAGACGGACAAAGATTCAGAGGATGAGTTTTAAGGTAGACTTGTGAGGAAATTTGCTTTGGTTCACTTAAAAGATGTTGCTAAAGTTAGCAAACTGCAACTCTTTGTGTTGCACAAGCGCAGTATCGAGCGAGAAATGAAAACAACTGGTGCTTGTCATATGCTTGTTTTTCTTTTGGTTTTGTTCCTGTTCTTTTGTATCAAGTAGAAGTGGATTGTATTATCTAAAATTCTCAAGAAAACTAAACGCAGAATCTATAGAGTGAATCTGTCATAATGCTCAACTTTAACCTGTCTGAATGCCTTTTTACCTTTCTTAATTACTTTAATTACTTTGTGTTGTCACGACTCTAATTTCTCTCCGTAAGATGTCGTGATGGAACCTAATCTCTAACACTAGGTAAACCTATCAATTATGCGGAATACAAAACTAAAACACAAATCTCAACATATAAAATAAATCAAACCGCGATACAAATGGTTACAACTCCCAAAACTCGGTAGAAATAAGTCACAAGCTTCTAAGAGAAATACTAAGTGTCTCTAAACATCAGAGTGTAATGAAGATAAGGAAAACAACATAATAAAGATAGATGGGGACTCCGAGGTCTACGGATGCTGGCAGATATACCTTGAAGTCTCCACGTACTGACTAGCTCATTGATACCTGATCTGGTAGGAAGTACCTGAATCTGCACAAAGAGATGTGCAGAAGCGTAGTATGAGTACACCACACCGGTACCCAGTAAGTATCAAGCATAACCTCCGTAGAGTAGTGACGAGGTCAGGTCAGGCCTGGAAGTAATAAAAGACAGGGTGAAAGTGTAATCAATATAATAATAATAATAATGACAATGAGAATAATTCAAGTAGTATATCACAATTCAACCATACAGAATATGGGCAAATAATACCTCACGGAAGGAAAACAGGAATTTATAAATTTAAAGAAAAACACAAGTAACCAAAAGCAAGTGCAACCACAGAGAAATATCAACAAGGGCACTCCCGAGGTACCGCCTCGTAGTCCCAAATCATAAATAAATTCACAATATCTCATTTCTTTATATCACCGCGGGAGCCTTCACATTTAGTTTTAAAGAAAATATTTTTCCGAAATAGCATCCAGCGTTTTAGCCACCCTTATCACACCGCATGACTTCTAGTAGTTCCCCTACTAGCCACGCGTATCAATCCACCCTTATCTCACTGCATGATTTTCAACACCCAGACCTTATACCACCGCATGCATATCAATATCACAATATATCACAATTTGTACCTCAAATGCTCAAATATTTCAACTTGCCAAAATAAATCAACAATAATATTATTTCCACAATAAGGAGCTCACGGCTCAATCATAATGAATACAAAATCTCACAAAATTTTTCGAAGTGAATAACTCAACAAAAATAATATTTCACAAATTGAACACTTTGCTTCAATACCAAATTTTTAATGTCAAATACTTCATATTAATAATAATTCAATTAAGAAATTCAACTTTCAAATAATGAGCACAAAATAAAAAAAACAAAGTTTCAACTAAACAGGTAAAACAATTAGCAGCAAAAATGTCACGCAAATTTAAAAATAAAAATATATCAATGATAAGGAATATAACAGGATAAAATAATTTAATTAATATGCAACAGTGATCTACACAATTTAAAGACATAATCTTTCACATTTAGCCCGTGAACACATTCATCACCTCGTGTAGACAACTTTCAACACATTACAATTATCATATCAATATCAATCCTAAGGGGAATTCCCCCACACAAGTTTAGACAAGTCACTTACCTTGAACCGAGTAATTCTTTACTCCTATATGCCTTTGCCTCGCGAATTAGCCTCCGAAAGTCTCGTATCTTGTCACAATTAATTCGATTCAATCAATACAAAATATTGAAATTTATTCCATATGAAAATACTAATTTTCAACAAAAATCTGAAATTTAACTCAAAAATCGCCCGTGGGATCCACGTATCGAAACCTGACAAAAGCTACAAAATATGAATGGTCATTCAACCATGAGTCCAACTATACAATTTTTATCAAATTCCGACATCAACTTGACATCCAAATCTCAAATTCTTATTTTGAACTCCCTAGGCCCAAATCCTCTAATTTCACCTAAAGAATATGTAATCTAGTCGAAATACTCAATGATAATCTAATTTTATTGACTAACAATGATCACAAGTGACTTACCTCAAGTTTTACCGTGAATTCTCTCTGAAAACATCGCCCAAAATTGTGTTTGGAAATGTCCAAAAATGGCAGAAGCTCGGAACCCCTCTAATTTTGTACACTGCCAGAGGTTCCGCTTCTGCGGAAACTTAACCTCTTCTGCAGTCTCGCAGATACGAGGTCCCGCCCACTTCTGTTATTTCGTTTGCTTTTACGTACAAGAGGTCCGCTTCTGCAGCCTCGCTTCTGCGGTCTCCAGTTGCCACCTTTCACTCCGCATCTACAGAGAATGGCTCGCAGATGTGGAGATCTTCACGCACCTGCGATCTAGCCCTAGGCCAAGCCCCTTTCCGCTTCTGCACCTTGCCAGCCGCACCTACGGCAGAGTACCTGCGTGAAGATCTCCGCATCTGCGAGCCATTCTCAGCGTACCATATCACGCAGCGTACCTACGGCAGTTCTGCAGGTGCGATTGCACCAGAAGGCAGAAAACTCCAGCTTTGTTCAAAGTCCAAATTTGATTCGTTAACCATCTGAAACTCACCCGAGTTTCTCGATACATCAACCAAATACACCACCCAGACATCATACAAACTTAGTCGAAACTTTAAATTACATCAAACAATGCTAAAACCACGAATCATACTCAAATTCAAGATTAATGAAACTAAGAAATTCCAACTTCTACATTCAATGTCGAAACCTATCAAATCAAATCCGATTGACCTTAAATTTTGTACACAATTCATAAATGACCTAACAAACCTATTCAAATTTCTAGAATCGAATTCCGACCCAAATATCAAAAAGTCAACCCGGTCAAACTTCCAAACTTAAATTTCTATTTTAGCCTTTTCAAGTCTAATTTAACTACGAACTTCCAAAATATTTTTCGGACACGCTCCTAAGTCCAAAATTATCATATGGAGATATTGAAATCATCAAAATTCTATTTCGGGATTGTTTACATATAAGTCAATATCCAGGCAACCGTTTCAACTTAACTCTTTAACTTAGGAACTATGTGTCCCATATCACTATGAATCCAAAAACCAAACACCCCGGCAAGTTACAACACCACGATATAGCATTGAGGAAACAAAAATATAAGGGATCAGGGTTAAAGTATTCGTAACGACCGGTCGGGTCGTTACATTCTCCCCCCTTAACAAACGTTCGTCCTCGAACGGGTATAAAGACATACATGAAGTGGTGAAAAGATGAGGATAACGGCTGCACATATCATGCTCGGTCTCCCAAGTCGCCTCCTCGACCGGATGACCCCTCCACTGTACTTTTACTGAAGCAATGCTCTTCGATCTCAACTTTCTAACATGTCTGTCCAAAATGACCACTGGTTCCTCAACATAAGATATATCATTATCCAATAGGAATGAGAAGAAGTCTAATACATGAGATGGATCGCCGTAATACTTCCGGAGCATGGAAACATGGAACACTGGATGAACTGCAATGAGACTAGTTGGTAGTGCAAATATGTAAGCCACCTCTTCAACCCTCTCAAGAATCTCAAAAGGCCAAACATACATAGGGCTCAATTTTCCCTTATTCCCGAAATCTCATAACATCCTTCATGGGCGAAAATCGAAGCAAGACCCGCTCACCAACCATGAATGTAACATCACGAACCTTTCGATTCGCATAAATCTTCTGTCTAGATTGGGCTGTACAAAGTTGATCCTGAATCAACTTAACCCTTTCCAAAGCATCCTGAACCAGGTATGTGCCCAATAGCCTAGCCTCGCCCGGCTCGAACCAACCTATTGGAGACCGGCACAACCTACCATATAAGGCCTCATACGACACCATCTGAATACTCGACTGATAACTGTTATTTTAAGAAAACTCCACAAGTGGCAAGAAATGATCCCAAGCACCCCCAAAATCTATCACACACGCACGAAACATATCCTCCAGTATCTGAATAGTGCCCTCGGACTGAGGGTAAAATGTTGTACTCAACTCTACTCTAGTACCCAACTCTCATTGTACGACTCTCCTGAATCATGATGTAAACTGCGTACCCCGGTCAGATATGATAGATACTTGTACGCCATGAAGCCTGACAATCTCGCGAATGTAAACCTGAGCCAGCTGCTCCGAAGAGTAAGTAGTAACCACATGAATGAAATGAGCTGGTTTGGTCAATTTATCCACAATCAGCGAAACTGCATCGAACTTCCTCTGAGTCCGTGGAAGTCCAACAACAAAATTCATAGTGATCCGTTCCCACTTCCATTCTGGAATTTCTAACTTCTGAAGCAATCCACCGGTCGTTGATTCTCATATTTTACTTGTTGATAATTTAGGCACCGGGAGACATACTCAACTATGTCTTTCTTCATCCGCCTCCAGCAGTAGTGCTGTCTCAAATCCTGATACATCTTTACAACACCCAGATGAATAGAGTACCGCGAACTGTGAACCTCCTGGAGAATCAACTCACGCAAACCATCTACATTGGGTACACACAGCCTGCCCTGCATCCGTAATATATTGTCATCTCTAATAGTGATTTCTTTGGCATCACCCGTGCTGAACTGTGCCCTTAAGGACAAGCAGATGAGGGTCATCATACTAACGCTCTCTGATACGATCATAAAGAATAAACTGAGGAACCACATAAGCCAAAACTCAGCTCGGCTTGGAAACATCCAATCTAACAAACTGGTTGGCCAAGGCCTGAACATCCAAGGCTAAAGGCCTCTCTGCTACTAGTAGATAGGCTAAGCTACCCAAACTTTTTGCCTTACGACTCAAGGCATCGACCACTACATTGGCCTTCCCGAGATGATAAAGAATGGTGATGTCATAATCCTTAAGCAACTCCAACCACCTCCGCTGCCCAAGTTAAGATCCTTATGTTTAAATAGATGTTGTAGACTTCAGTGATCGGTGTAGACCTCACAAGGGACACCATACAAGTAGTGCCGCAAGATCTTCAAGGCATGAACAATAGCTACTAACTCGAGGTCGTGGACTGTATAATTCTTCTCATGTACCTTTAACTTTCTGGACGCATAAGAAATCACCGTACCGCCATGCATCATCATTGCGCCGAGA